CAAATTGTCTTAGTAATACTGAGCAAAGGCATTTTTCCTCTGGCCTTCTGTGAGATGCAGTAGGTCTAGAGAGGCAGGGATTCATTCCCTAGGGAAGAGCAGGAGCGGGGAGGTGACCTTTCAGGGGAGAGAGGAAAGCTACCTATTTTATGGCCTGGAAAGCTAAGAGGAAGACAAGAGTTGAGGTTTCTTTTGTCTCTTTTTTCCTAATAGCAGTAATACATATTACAGGAGTAATAATGTGTGCACCTTATAAAAATTCAAACCAGACAAAAATAGCCAATGTAGGAAGCGATAGTTCCCTGCAGCAGCACAGCACAGAGATAACCACCATTACTTCTGCCTGTGGCATGCGGCCAGCTGGGGACATGCACCCCTGACACCCGCTCCACCCTGTATGTGTTGCTAATTCCAGTATCTCAGGTGGGGCTTAGGTGGATTAGGCAGGAAACAATAAAGTTCCCTTTGCTTCACCTCTCAGGGTCCTGTTCTAAACAGAGCAAAGTCCAGGTTTGGGCAGTGACAAGTGATCTGTAAAGACTTAGATAGGCTGAGTGGCACACATGCCTGTAATTCCAGTTACTTGGGAGGCAGAGACAGGGAAATTTGAAAACTCTATCTCAAAAATAAGCTGGGCTTGATGCCATGACTGGGTCTCAGTTACTCTGGAAGCAGACAGTACAAGACTCTGTCTGCAAACCTGAAGCAGAGCGCCCAGCCAGGGTGGGCATTGATTAAGGAGACACAGGATACAGACGCAGATGCCGACTGCTTGGTTCTCCCACTCCTGGCCGCACACACTCCCTTCCTTCATCTTGTTTCTCTTCTCTGCTCACTCTGCTGCCTTGCCTCTCCACCATCCCTCCTGCTGTCTTTCTCTTGGGAGAAAAATCCTGTACTCTAGGTCACCATCTCAGGCCAAGTTGAGCACCCATGGCAGAAGGCTGTTGGAATTGCAACTGAATTAGCCATTTGATGGGAAGTGGGGGAAAAACAAAAAGAAACGAAAGCTACTGGCAGGAGTGGTGTCCCATACTTACAATGCCAGCACTTGGGAGACAGAGGCTGGAGGATTGTGACTTTTAAGCCAGTCTGAGCTATTGTTTGATGCCCATCAAACCACCACAACAAAACCAAACAACCCACCAACTATCACCAAGCCCTTGCAGTGCTTTTATCTCCTCTGCCCAGTGAAAGATGGCTACCTTAGTGTTGCTAAGGTGTGTGTGTGTGTGTGTGTGCTAAGGTGTGTGTGCGCTAAGGTGTGTGTGTGTGTGTGCTAAGGTGTGTGTGTGTGTGTGCTAAGGTGTGTGTGTGTGTGTGCTAAGGTGTGTGTGTGTGTGTGTGTGCTAAGGTGTGTGTGTGTGTGTGTGTGTGTGTGTGTGTGTATATCAAAGGGCCTCTGAGCCTTTCAGCTACTGCCTTGACCTTCTTACCAGGTAGGCTTTCTTTTGCCTTCATGCTTGTGTGGCTGGGCCTACAACTCTTTGTGATGGAAGCTTTCCCCTAGGCACTTGGAGGCCTTACCCTGGTGTTGCTCATGGGCATGGATGCTGCTCTCATTCCTGTGAGGGCCTTCAGGGCTTCCTTAAAAATTTTTTTTTTAGTAGTAGCATTTGAATCCAGGGCCTTGGGTCTTCTAGCCAAAAACTTCCGCCAGGTGCCAGTGGTTCATGCCTGTAATTGTAACTACACAAGAGGCTGAGATCTGAGGATCATGATTTGAAGCCAGCCAGGGTATAAAAGTCCGTGAGACTGTTACCTTCAACAACTGGGGGATGGGGGAGGGGGGGAGCCACCAGTGGAGCTGTGGCTCAAGTGGTAGAGTGCTAGCCTTGAGCAAAAGAGCTCAGGGGTAGCACCCAGGCCCTGAGTTCAAACCCCAAGACTGGTAACAATAATAAATAAAGTACTCTACACTTGAACCATATTCTAAGCCTGTTTTGCTTTATATCTCTATCTATCTATCTATCTATCTATCTTATTTTTTGCTAGTCCTGGGGCTTGAACTCAGAACCTGAGCACTGTCCCTGAGCTGCTTGCTCAAGGCTTATACTCTTCTACCACTTGAGCCACAGTGCCACTTCCAGCTTTTTCTGTTTATGTGGTACTGAGGAATCAAACCCAGGGCTTCATACATGCTAGGCAAGCACTCTACCACTAAACCATGTTCCCAATCCCTGCTTTAGATACTTTTGAAAATGGATCTTGCATTGTTGCCCATGTTGGCCTGGACTGTGATCTTCCTGTTTATGCTTCCTACACACCTTGTATAAGAGGTGAGTACCACCACATCCAGCTTTATTGGTTGAGATGGGGTCTTACCAGTTTTTTGGTAGGCCTGGCCTTAAACTGTGATTCTCTCAGTTTCTACCTCCCAAGTGGCTGGGGTAACAGGAGTGAGTCACTGTGTCCATTCTACATTTTCATCCTTATGCCTGGTGTGTGGAAACTTCATAGTGACGTCTGTAACTCTGTTCATTGTGCTGCATACTTAGAAATCTTCTGTTGTTAGCACTCAGGTCCTGAAGGAAATTCTTGTATTACTTTCTTTCGTAGTTTTTTATATTTATGTTTTCTTCTTTTCTTTTTCTTTCTTTCTTTTTTTTTTTTTTGGTCGGTCGTGGGGCTTAAACTCTGGGCTTGGGCGCTGTCCCTCAGCTCTTCAGCTCAAAGTGAGCGCTCTACCGCTTGAGCCACAGCGCCACTTCTGGTTTTCTGGTGGTTTATTGGAGATAACAGTCTCACCGAGTTTCCTGCCCAGGCTGGCTTTGAACCTTAATCCTCAGATCTCGGCCTCCTGAGTAGCTAGGATTACAGGCGTGAGCCACCAGCGCCCGACTCTTTTCTTTATAATACTATTAGACTCTTTTTAGACCAGTTATAGGTTTACAGAAAAGTGAACGGAAAGTATGAGTCTCCTTATGCCTCTTGGCCCTGCTAGTTTCCTCTGTTATTAACATCCTGCATTAGTGTGCACATTTGTTATAGCTGATGGGTGAACACCAATACATTGTTGTTAACTAGCCTGGGGTTTACGTGGGCCTCAACTCTTTGTATTGTATATTCTTTGCAGTTTTGATAATGGAAAAGATAGACACTACCTTTGTACTATCATACTGCCCTAAACAATGCTCTTCCTCCTCTGTTCTTGGCCTGTTTACTCTTTTCTCTCTCACTTTATTATTTATTTATTTATTTAGTTTTTGTTTTGGTTGGTTGTGGGGCTTGACCTCTGGGCCTAGGTGCTGTCCTTGAGCTCTTCAGCTCAAAATAAGTGCTCTACCACTTGAGCCACAGCACCACTTCTTGTTTTCTGGTGGTTTGGAGCTAAGAGTCTCATGGACGTTTCTGCCTGGGCTGACTTTGAATTGCGATCCTCAGATCTCAGCCTCCTGAGTAGCTAGGATTACAGGCATGAGCCACCAGCACCTGGCTTTCTCTGTCACTTTAAATTGCTGGTAACCATAGACATACTACTTTCTTGACAATTTTGTCCTTTTCAGAATGTTATATATTTGAATCATAAAATATGTAACATTTTCAGATTGTTTTTTTACTTACATATTTAAAATATTTCCATGTCTTTTCATGGCTTGATAGTCACTTTTTATCATTGCATAATATTTCACCATCTGTACATTCACCTTTTGAAGGATGTCTTGGTAGCTTCCAAGTCTAGGCAGTTATAGAGCTGCTATGAACATTTTGCAGATATTACCCTTGAAGTTAAAGTTTCACCTATTTCCTACTGTAGTAAGATGAATACTAAGAAGCACAATTGTTTCTTGTATGGGAAGCTGTCAACCTAGGCAGTAGTATACCCACTTCTCGGTAGAGTGGACTCCGCTTGCCCTGTGCAGGAGCCTGTGTGTGAGGGATCTCGTTTCAGTGTGTCCTCATCCTTCTTGTTGGGGAGTCTGCGGTGGGAAGAATATGGGCTTTAATGTGATGGGAACCTGTTTCTAAGTCTCCTCTCTCCTCTGTGCTTGTTCTTGGGTGAGTTACTTCCCCTGAACCTAACCCTGTGATCTGTATAACAGGACAGCATCTGCTGTGCTTTGTGACATGGGAAACGTGGGGGAGAGGACATGGAGGAAACAGAGGAGGACCCTTCTGCTGGCTATACCTATGTGGTACTCAGCATGGAGGAGCTCCTCCTCCTTCAAGAGTCTGTCTGTCTGTCTGTCTGTCTCTGTCGGTCACGGGGCTTGAACCCTGAGCTCTTCAGCTCAAGGTGAGTGCTCTACCACTTGAGCCACAGCACCACTTGTGGTTTTCTGGTGGTTAATTGGAGATAAGAGTCTCATGGACTTTCCTGCCTGGGCTGGCTTTGAGCTGCAATCCTCAGATCTCAGCCTCCTGAGCAGCTAGGATTACAGGCATGAGCCACCAGTACCAGGCTTTTCCTGGGTCTCTTGCTTCAAGGCTTAGCCATGTCTCACAGCTGTGTTCCTGGCAGGACTTGGGGTGAGTCATTGTGTGAGTAAGGTTGTGTGTGTGTGTGTGTGTGTGTGTGTGTGTGCACATATACACTAGCATTCTTGAGTTTCTGGCCCTGGGCCTTTGTGTGAACTGTTCTTTTTTGGTGGCTCAGAAATAGAGCTTCAGCTGAGATTGGCCAGAGTTGATGTGAACAGGGGAAAATGTAGGTAGGTGTGTCTATACCAGGAGCCTGGATATAGGTCTAGTTCCTCCCTGGTTTCTTCTTATCCCTTTGGGCCTTAGGGTTTCCGATATGGAGGGGAGGGCCTGGGATGGGGTCTCTGAGCTCCAGGGGAAGGTACTGCTGCGCTGTTGCACAGCACCTGAATAACTTTTCCCATCATGGAAAAGTGTTGGTTTCTCACCTGTGCCTGTGGCTTAGAAGCCTGGGCTTATCTGTCAAAGTAGAAGCTCTTGGGCAGAGGCTGTCAGTGGCCCCCAAAGCAGGGAGGGGGTTTGGGGAGCTGGGTACCCTTGGCTACGGTCAGAGCTCTGCCCATCCCCTCTTCTCACAGGTGGTACAAGCTACACTCCAAGGCAGGCAAGAAGGAGAAGGAGCGAGGAGAGATCCAAGTCACAATCCAGTTCACTCGCAACAATTTGAGTGCTAGCATGTTTGACCTGTCCATGAAGGACAAGCCAAGATCCCCCTTCAGCAAGCTCAAGGACAAGATGAAGGGCAAGAAGAAGTTTGAGCTGGAGTCTGCCTCTGCCATCCTCCCAAGCAGTGCTCTAGAGGATCCTGACCTGGGCAGCCTGGGTAAGATGGGCAAAGCCAAAGGCTTCTTTCTTCGCCACAAGCTGCGCAGATCATCCTTGACCCAGTCCAACACCTCATTGGGCTCGGACAGCACCTTGTCCTCAACCAGCGGGAGTCTGGCCTACCAGGGCCCTGCCTCAGAGCTCCTTACCCGATCACCGAGCCGCAGCAGCTGGCTGTCCTCTGAAGGGGGTGAGTGAGCTAGAACTGCATGCCTTGGAGAGGGGAGTGGAGGGTGGGTGGGCGAGGAGGGGTGAGGAAGGCCTGGCTGGGCCCAAGAAACGGGTTCTTTATCCCCTGTGCTGACCCTACATGTGTCTCCTTTTCAGGCAAGGATTCTACACAGTCCCCCAAGTTGCTTACCCACAAGAGGACCTACAGTGATGAGGCCAGCCAGATGCGTGCAGGTCCTCCCCGGGGTCTTCATGACCTCCAGGGTCACGTGGATGCTGCCTCCCGCTCTTCCCTGTGTGTCAACGGAAGCCACATTTACAACGAGGAGCCCCAGGCCCCCTTGCGGCATCGCAGTTCCATCCTGGGCTCCTTCCCACCCTCTAGCTCCCTGCACAGTGTCTCTTCCCGGCCCTCTGAGGAGGGGCCTCCGACCTCCGATGACTCATGGGGCAGAGGCAGTCGTGGCACCAGCAGCTCAGACGTGGTACCCGGACAGGAGGAGCTGAGCACTCAGACCAAAGTGCTGGCTGTCGGGGCTGGCCGCTCTGGAGAGGAGGAGGGTTCCCGGCCTCCGGAGCCAAAGCCAGTGCAGGTTGCCACACCCATGGTGGCCTCCTCTGAGGCTGTGGTAGAGAAGGAGGGTGCACGGAAGGAAGAGCGGAAGCCTCGCATGGGCCTCTTCCACCATCACCACCAGGGGCTGAGCCGGAGCGAGATGGGGCGCCGAAGCTCTGTGGGGGAGAAGGGAGGTCCTGCCTCCCCCCACCACTCATCCGTTGGGGAGGAAAAGCCTAAAAGTAGCTGGTTTGGTCTGAGAGAATCCAAGGAGCCAACTTCGAAGCCCAGGTATGTACTTGGCTAGGCCAAGGAGGCCAGGTGTTTGCTGCCTGGAACCTGGGGCAGGGAGCAGGCTGCTGGGGCTCTGGCTTTGCATGGATCAGATGGGCACCTTGTGTTCCTATCCCAAGACTGCTTCTCTGCACATGGATACAGGTGAGTTGCCAGGGCACAGTGCTCTAAGAGTCCTGTGGGTAGAGGTTGTCTTGGGCCCTGCTAGGTGAGTTGGTCAGAGAAAGGCAGGGAGGGATCATTTGTGTGGGTCTTGGCTTTCTGATCTCTACCTCTTGCCCTTCTTTTGGCCTTAAGGTAAGAAGCATTGGCAGGTGGTAGGATGGAGACCAGAGACAGGATGGCATGCTCAGTAGCCCCACCTGTGTGAAACAATTCCTCTCAGCTGGTCTGCTGGCCCTGGGCTCTTTTCCCTCTGAAGGACTCAAGTCAAATAATAGATGCTTTGTCCCTCCTCCTCCTCATTCCTTTTACTACCTCGCCTGGCAAGAGGCTGGGCAGCACCCTCAGAATGTGTAACCCCCTCCTTGGGCCTCTGGCCTGCTCTCATGTCTCTTGGTGTTGGGGTACAGTAGTATTGGAAATGCTGATGACAGCGGTTCTGTTATGTTCTCACCCTGACTCTTTGCCACCTCCTCACTCGGAGCCAGAGAAAGCTGCTGCATTGCCTGGCAGGACCCTCCAGGGGTAGGTCACAGAAACCTGAATACGCCCTGCCCTAGTGCCTGGGTCCACCACAAGAGGGGCAGCATTGATGGCAACCCAACTGGTGTTGTTTATCTAGTCTCTTAGCAAGCCTTCCCCTTCCTCCCTCATTGTTCAGTGGATGCAGGGACAGGTGGAAGGCCCAGGGGGGTCCAGTAGACAAGAATCAAGAGATCAGTTAGGCTGGGTGTTTGATGGCTCACAGTTGTCATCCTAGCTACTCAAGAGGCTGAGATCTGAGAATCACAGTTTGAGGCCATCCCAGGCAGAAAAGTCTGTGAGACTCCCTCCATTTAACCAGCAAAAATCCAGTAGCGGACGTATGGCTCAAGTAGTGGAGCACCAGCCTTGAGTGAAAAAGCCAAGTGAAAGCAGCAGGCCGAGTTCAATCCCCAGAACTGGTGTGCATGCATGTGCGTGCATGTGCATGCACACACGCACATGCGCACACGAGCGCGTGCGTGCACACACACACACACACGTGCACGCCCACTCGTATGCACATACAGAACTCCATACCTATTCCCAGCAGAGGAATGTGCCATAGTTCTGTGTGTGTTTTTTTTTTTTCTTTTTCCCTGTGAAATGCTGAGAGCTGAGAGGTGGGAGATGTACCTGCTACCTTCTGGGGTGCCTACAGTCTCCATTTTCCTTCTGCTTCTCCACAGCTCCTAACAGCCTTTCAGTTTCCCCAGAATCTGGGATGAGTAGCCTAAAGGTGGGGTTTCTGTCTTGTTCTGATTTGCATTCTGAGCAGGCTGGAAGGTACCAGGGTACCAGTAGAAGCTGTAGGGAAGATCTAAAACTGGAGTAACTGAAGGTAGCTGCCAGGATCTCCAGCTGGGATGTGGGGATCCTGTCCATAGACCTACAGGCTTAGGGGGGACCTGGAGCTACTGACGCAGATCCCTGGATGGTTCCAGCTAGCAAGGGCATCAGCGCCCTCTAGTGTCCCCATGTGGCACTGATGCCCTACAGGAATACCTGAAGCAGCAGTGTTGGATAATGGCTGACGGAAGGGCTGATGGCTGGAAGGACAGAGAAGATGGCCCTGATGTGCACTGGTCTGCTGGTCCATGTTGTTAGCCTAGGCTTCTATTCATGTGGAGCAGAGGGGGAATAGGTAGAGACGCCAGCTCTGCCGTAGTGTGTTAGTGTGTGCTTGTGAATAGGAAAGCCCATACATGTGAGACCCACCAGTAACACAGAGGGCTGTTTTTGTGCCTATCCCTGGTTCTCCTAGTTTTCTGCCCCTCTCCCTTACACTAACCAAAAATGTACAAAAATACATTTAACTGGGGGTAAATCTGATACAACAGAGAGGCAAGTACATCATTATGGTGGCCCTTAGCATCTCTGCATCTCCCTAGCTCTCCCCCCGTAAGGTGGACAGCAGATCCCAGTGGGTCTGAGCTTGTGCTGTGGTTTCAGAGAGAACAGCTATGTTCTAGCTGCTGTAAATGTTACTTCAGTGTATTCCCAGGCACTTAGAGTTAGAGCAGCTTTATGTCCTGTTTGTGACTATTTTCCTAGTATAGTTATATAGTTACCATATTAACAGTGTTTTGGTTTGCAAAAGAGATAATACGGTCTTCCTACTTAGAGTTCATAAGGCCCTTCTCTGTCACCGCAAGTGCCCAGTTTCCTGACTTGTTTCCTGGGCATTGAAGTATATCTCAGGAGGTCACAAGAGGGTTGATGGCCAGAGGACACATTGGCTGGGGATTGGCTTCCTTGGGGGTCTGGCTTTGGCACTTTGGGAACTAACTAGTAGAGTGTCTGTGCAGATCCACTGCTGCCACCCTGGGGACTGATGTGTGGAGGAAGGACAGAGAGCTCACTCATCTCAGCCAAAGGAAACAGGCTAATGGTGGAACTTGCTACACTGGTGGCCTCAGGGAGTGGTGTAAGAAGGATGGAAGCACTGGAAATGAGGCTCAGCAGTAGAGCACTAGCCTAAGAAGGGTGGTAGGAATGAGCCGGTGATTCTTATTAAGTGCTGCAGAGTTCATAAAACTCTAAAATGGTTGTGTTTCTTTTGTGTATGTGTGTGTATGTGCATGTGCACGTGTGCACATCAGACTTGAACTCAGGGCTTGGGTGCTGTCCCTGAGCTTTTTTTTTTTTTTTTTTTTGCTTAAGGCTACCATTCTACCACTTGAGCCATAGCTCCACTTCTGGCTTTTTGGTGGTTAATTGGAGATAAAAGAATCCCATAGACTTTCCTGCCTAAGTTGGCTTCAAAGCACAATCCTCATATTTCAGCTTCCTGAGTAGCTAGGATTACACGTGTGAGCCACTGGTACCTGGCTGATGCTCTGAAGTTTTATTCCCCCAGGGTGAAATGATAGTCTGGATAGACAGTCTGGATAGGCAATTGGTCTTTCTCAATAATTGGCCCTAAAAGACAAGGCAACTCAGCATATGTGTACAGCCTGGTGGGAGGCTGTGCTAGGCTGGCATGATGAGTTCCAGGACACAGAGGTGTTTATAAAGTCTGCTGTCAGAGAACAGCCTTCAGAGGTGAGCACACAACGGGACATGCTTCTGACCTGTGCCCAGAGGACTGGTGGAGAGGAAATGTTTTGCAGAGCTTTCAAGATCTGCCTTTGGTGTAGAGCAGGGAGAAGACAAAGGGTGGGGGCAGGACATGGTGCTGAAGACCTGGATGGACAGGTTGCTCTCAGGCTGTGCCAGCTCTAGGAAGCCTGTTGGCTTTGCCACCCAGAGCTCCATCCTCCAGGGGAGGCTCTCTGCTGATTCCATACCAACGAGTTCTTGTGCATCTCTGGGGAGCCACCCTGGGGAAGGAGGCTGCCAAGCTAAGCCTGGGACTCCACGTCTACTTCCCTGGCACTCCTCTACCTGCAGGGCAGATTGCCCATACTGTACTGCCAGCTTGTAAGGGTGAGTGTGGGGCTAGGCTGGAGCTGAGATTTCTGCTGTTTAACACAAATGGGCTTTTCTCTCAGGCTACTCTGGAACTTATCGTGAAGGGGGCTTGGGGAAAGATGGAGTGCCCTAGCCCTGTTCCTGGGTTGGGGCTGAGGTTAGTATGGATCACTGATGAGGCTGAAAGTAGGGTTATAACCCATATGGTGGTGGTGGAGTATTCCTTCTCACTCTTCTCGGTTCTTGTAGGAGGCATGTTATCTGGCCTTTGGCCTGACTAGAATGAGAGAGCAGAGACATTTGCTGGAGTTAGGGATTCTGGGCTCATTGTTCTTCCTCTTTGAGTCTCCGCATGTCCTTAGAAACAGGAATTGGAGGTAGACAGAAATTTTTACCTCCCCATCCTCCCACCACTTGTCTAGATGGTGGGGACAGGACAGAATCCTGTCTTGGATGGGGAATTTTTCTAGGGGAATAAAAGGTCACAGGAGTCCCCAGGAGCTGGACTTCCTTCTACAAGAAACCATGTGTTTAGTGCCTTCAGTGTGGCTCTGTCCTTCCATGTGAGACTTTCCCACTTCCTCTGTCCTGTCTCTGGGAGCAAACTGGACTCTGGGTTCCTGGAAGAATCTCGCAAGTTCTAAACAGCTCAGTCTTGTTCTACGGGTGGCCTCCTGCCCTACCCACATTTCTAATGGGTGGCTGGCAAAGCCTGGCTTCTGCCACCTCAGGGCTCACCACTCGCATTTCCTGAGTAAGGAACTAACGGAATGGAATAGATGGATGTGGAGATTTCCTTGGGTGTTCCACCTGGGAAGGCAGGGTCAAGGACTGGGGGCATCTCAGCTTGGAGAGAGGGAGAGAAGACTGGCTGTGAGGAGGGAGGCTGTTGGATAGCTGTGGGTGAGGCCATCAAGGCCTGGGCTCAGCTGCAGGCTACCTACGGACCTTTGAAGCTAGAATGTTTGATCTGCTTTGCTTCAGCACTGTCTTCCATTCTTCTGTCTGTGTCTTAGGAAAGCAAAGGTTTTTGGTGCATTTCTGAAGTTTGTAGATGCTGCTCAGAGGTGCTCCTCCTGCAAGGTTCTGGGGGTGGGGTTACCTGGAGGCTGCAGGTTGTCTTTGTGTCTTTGGTATAGATAAAATTCACTAGGGGTTTCTTGGGAGGACCTGCCCTGCCCTTGCCCCTAGGGGGAGCTAGATATAAGAACACATTTTATTTCTTCCTTTCCCCTTCCCTCTTGTCTCCTCTCTTCTCTCATTCTCTCTCTCCCTCCCTCCCTCGATCCCTCCCTCCCTCACTCTCTCCCTCATTCCCTCTTTCTTTCCTCTGTCTTCTCTCTCCCCCTCTTCTCTCCCTCTTTCCCTCCCCCCTTCCCTCCCTCCTCTCCTTCCTTCCCTCCCTCTCCTCCCTCTCTTCCTCTCCTAGTACTCAGGCTTGAATTCCAAGGTCTGGGCATTGTCCCTGAACTATTTTGCTCAAGTCCAACAGATTTTTCTTCCTGGGCTGGCTTCAAGCCATGATCCACAGATCTCAGCCTCCTGAGTAGCTAAGATTACAAGCATGAGCCACTTGCACCTGCCTTTGAAAGACATCTAGAGTACTTTCCTTGGACTCTAGAAGGCTGCCACATTGCCAGCTTTTATTTCCTGAGACTGGCCCATGAGGTAGGTGAGGTGAGGAGGCACTGTTTCTGTGGTGCTTTGTATTAGGTATCATAGAAGTCTTGTCAACCTTGGCCAGTTAGATTAGCCCTTAAAGATAACAGGGCAGATTCTCTTTGATTGGTGATATCCCCATCTTTACCTCATTCTTTTGCCCGGGATCGTGAAGACTCATTGTGTTTGGGCATCTGAACGAATTGTAGGTGCCTAGCTTGGTTCTCTCATGTTGGCTTTGTCCATCCACATACCTATGTTGGCCTTCCTTGTTCTGCTTTCTCTCCCTTCTCCAAGATAGTTCTCCCTCAGGTCTAAAATGAATGTCAGGAATTAAGAGTGTGAATCCAGTGTTCAACAGACCCTTCAGAATAGGATAGTGGAACAATCAATCGCTGGGTTTAGATTTCGATCTTCCCTGTAAGCTAAGATTACTGTTGTCTGGGGCCTGGTGTGAGGATGATGTTCACTTTGCCCACCATCCTTTTCCTTGGATGGCACCTAGTAATATTATGTCTGTGGGGTCTTCTCTCTGTCACCTACCCATGTGTCTGCATATAGCCAATGTGGTATCACAGCGCCCAGTGTCCAGGTGGGGGGCAGGGGTGTGGTATTCAGTAGGGCTTTTCTAGTCTCAGCATTAACCAGGAGGCTCATGGTTTTGTCTCCCTCCACAGCCTGGACGTGTCTCCTCAGGTAGAATCTGACCCAGCTGCTCCTCCTCACCACCTCCCCTGCTCCCCCTGGGCTTCGGCCCACCCCACTCCTGCTCCCACCGCTGCTCCTATGCTAAGCACTAACCTTTTTGCAGCTGCCTCTCCCGCTGCTGCCACTGCTGCTGCTGCCACCACAGCCCCCGAAGCCACCCCATCTGGATTCTTGGGTGTCACCAACCCGTTCCTCACCTCCTTGCAGAGCAACCCCTTCTTCGAGGAGCTCGTAGCGGACATAGCACTAAACTCTCCTTCACCTGCTCCCTCTCTCCCCAGTGCCTCGAGGGCCAGCCCCACCCCCCTGGCCTCCCCTGGGAAAGCCCTGCCTGAGTGGGACGACACCTTCAACATCTTTGCTGCTGGCAGGCTGCATCCAGAGGCCAGGAGCGAGATCCTGGCCCTTGCAGGAATGGGGCTGGAGGCAGCTGGGCTGCAGGACTCAGGCCATGAGGCCATGACAGTGAAGGCAGCAGAGCTCCAGGAAGACCCTGGGGGAGAAAAAGGTGGGAGCAGCATGTGGCTGGAGCCCAGGGCTCCTGTGGACTCAGGACTGGACCAGCAGAGCACAAATGTGTCTGACCCTGGGCCCCTTGGGTCTGTGGGGACTGGGCTGTCCCCTTCAGCAGTCCAGTTGTACCTGAGCGCCTCGGTCTCAACACCAGACAGGGAGCCATCTGCCCCAGAAAGGGGTGCTGAGCCAAGTCCAGCAGACAGTGGGACATCTCTGTTCAGCTCCCCAGAAGTGCTCAGTATGTGGGAGAAGCTGCCTGGTCCAGATGATGCCCCTGAGGGCCAGAATGAGGAGACCCCCAGCAGTGAAAGCCAGCGTTTCCATGAGCTCAATATGGTGGATGATTCCTGGCCTTGGGATGTGGTCACCGTTTCTCCTACAGCAGAGACAGCTTCACCAGTCCCACAGGAAGAGTCTGATGAGTTGTCTGCTTCCCGAGCACAGCCCGAATCACCTAAGGAGAGTGAGGGGCTCCCCTCGCTGGAGCTGGAGCCAGAGCCTGAGCCTGCATGGGAGCCAGATGAGGGGCTGCAATCCATCACACCACCTCCCAAGCCACCACGCCTCTTCACACCCTCAAATTCCCAGGTAGAAGTGGAGGAGGAGGAGGAGGAGGCAGAGAAGGAGGAGGAGGAGGAGGAAGAGAAAGAGAAGACTTCAGGGGGGATGAGTAAGAGGGGGATAGGAACAGAAGACACTGCCCCAAGTGCATTGGTTGTTGGTCCCCAGGAAAACAAGGAAGAGAGTGAAAAGCTTGAGTCAGTAGAGTCTCCCAGAACCCTGTTGGGTGGGGCAGGCCTGGAAAAGCTGGTGGAAGATGCTGCCCCCCTTGAATCTGTGGCCTGTCCAACTGTGCCCACTATCTGCCCTGAGAGTCCTGTCCCCACAACCTGTTACTCAACAGGTTTGGCTCTTCCAAGTCAGCAGATCCTGGGACCTCCAGAGAGAGAAGGCCCTGTGGCCCAGAGCCAGGGGTCAGTAGAAGAAAGGCTTGGGCCTCAATCAGCCACTTCCCAGGAGGCTGATTTGTGGGCCTTGGAGGAAGATGCCTTGAACCCCTTCTTATCTCAGGGAAGCCGAGATCCCCCCAGCCTCCCGTCCACATCCCCACCAGGGTCCAGGGAATCTTCCATCCACTCTGGCCCTGAAGAGCCACCTACACCCCCAGAGCCTGCCTTTCCACCGCCCCCTCTCCCACCCTGGGCAAGCCACCGCCGCGGGGGGCCTGGTCCTCCATGTTCTCCTGCGCTTGGAGCCTGGCCCCTCACCTCTTCCTCCCCATCCCCGGGGGAGCCAGCCTCATCCCCTGGCCCCCTTGAGCCCTCCCCTCCTGGAGGCTCTCCTGCCCCAAGCGGGGAGGACCACGCTGCAGCCACCCCAGCCTCCCCGCTTGTGCTTCTGCCCTTGGAGACACGACCAGCTGAGGAGCCACAGCCCAGTGCCAGGTGAGCGTCCACTCTGAAAACTCTTTCCAGGAGGACAGGGAGGAGGGGGTACAGCAATACTGGGGCTCCACATTTTAGCCTCATTCTTGCCTCAGGGCAAGTGAAGATTTCCTCCACCCCAGGATTAATGGGGGCTTTGAAGCCATGAGTTTTCTGTAGCATGGGACTATAGACAGTCAGGGTGGCCCCACAAACTAGGAGTTTGGAGAGGAGCCCTGACAAGGAACAGAGGTGAGCCTGCATGTGCTTGCAAGGAAGGCGATGACAGTGGTGCACACTGTGCAGGGGAGCTGTGGGCAGGGGAGGAGCTCATTGGAGGGTTGGTTCTTCCTGCAGGTGGCAGTGGGATCCCAAGCAGTTTTCTGTCCAGGAAGGGTAAGGAAGCTGGCTGGGGAAGCAGAGAGCAAGAAAAGAAACCAGGACTTAGATTAGAGAAGAGGGTATAAACTCAGGGGAAAGAAAGGAATGCTCAAATGCACAGACCTTCAGAAAGAGGGCTCTCTAGCCTTTGCAGGCACTTCACTGGCTTGCTTTCTCCATGGTTTTGTGCCTTTTGAGGGTGAGTTCCCAGCAGTTAGGATGCCTGTGTGATTGCTCACTGTGTCACTGAGTTAAAGGAAGAACAATGAGATTGACACCTCACTAAGTAAAGCAGTGAGTGTTGATCTGTAATGTTGAAATTGGGGTATGCTGGGAGTGACTCAGCTGGGCAGCAGAATCGAGGGACAGCAGTGCTCTAGGAGGCCCAAGTGAAGGAGGGATGGGCAGAGAGGCTGCTGCTTCTAACAAGTAGGGCATGGGACTTAGGGGGCTGATCATACTCCACCACTGGCCTCCATGAAGCCCCCAGGCTGCTTGGGTACTTGCTGCTTCATATATTCAAGTCACCTAAGTTCACTGAGTATCTGCTTTATATCAAACCCAGTATTTCCCATCCCAGTGGGGAAAATAGGGGAGATCTAGTCGTCCTTGTCTTCCTCCTTAGTTGTTGATACTGCTGGACTCCCTGTGGGGAAGCTGGTAGCCCCATGGCTTCTTTTTTTGCTATCATGGGAGGATTTTGTTTTTGTTTTTTATTGTGTTTTTGTGTTTTTGCTTTTTGTTTTTATGGTCGTGGGGCTTGAACTCTGGGCTTGGGCATTGTCCTTGTGCTCTTCAGCTAAAGGCTAGTGCTCTACCACTTGAGCCACAGCACCACTTCCAGTTTTCTGGTGGTTATTTGGAGATAAGAGTCCCACGGACTTTCCTGTTAGGACTGGCTTTGAACCGTGATCCTCAAATCTCAGCCTCTTGAGTAGCTAGGATTACATGCGTGAGCCACCAGTGTGTGGCAGTTTTGCTCTTTTTTGAGTTGGCTTCATGTGCTTATATGGTGACATATAAGTCCACACAGATGTCTTTAGATGAAGGCTGCAGGCTTAGGGTCTTTCAGATATAGGCTGAGAGCCTAGGCCTACCAGCTACTCATTGGAGGTACATGGTCCTTAGAGCTGTTTTCCCCACTGCAGTGCAGACTCCTAGGTAGCAGTTAGGACTTAGATGCATCTTTTCTCTACTCTGCCCCTGGTAGGTGCTTGACCCTACTCTGAATTTGAGTCTGAGTCTCAGCTCTGTCCCAAGGATCAGAGCTGTTTCTAGGTGTCTGCATGAGCCTGCTGCAGTGGCATTCAGTGCTGGAGTTCAGGACTAAGCTGTTTTGCTTCCTACTCTTGAACAGTGTGAAGCTTCTGTAGAGTGAGAGTGAATTTGTAAGAGGTCCCTAGGGTGGGTTAGCTGATTTGTGGGCTGGATACTTACAGCTTATGTAACTATGGTTGGTGTAGGGTACTGGGTTATCCCAGGGGAAGGCTATCCTAGCCTGGGAGAATCAAGAAGCTTCATTGGAAGTGGAGCTGTGGCTCAAGTGATAAGAGCACCAGCCTTGAGTGAAAAGGCCAGGCATGAGCACAAGGCCTGGAGGTCAATTCCTAACACTGGAAAAAGAAGTCCTTTTGGGCGAGGTGGTCTTGCACAGTTTTGAAACAGGAGTAGAAATGAGGCACTGGGAAGAAGGGGCAGTACTCCATGCAGAGAAGTAGCTTTTTAAGGTGGCTAAGTGATAGCACTTTCCACTGTGCCTGGAGTATGGAGAACACTGGGCCCAGATTGTATTAAGTGTTTTCAGTCAGGAGCCATTATAGTCTCCTGAACCCTGCAGGGAGCAGTTGGAGGTAGGCAAGACTTCATGGGAAGGCTGGTTAGTAGCAGTGATGGCTGCAGAGAAGATATAGCTAGCACTGCTTGGAGAGGAGGGGCTGCCCTGACAGAGAGGGGGAAGGTGGCAGAGCATGATTGATTCAGGCTGAGCTGAAGGGCACAAGTCAGAGGGACTCTGAGGTTCTGACTGGCCCTGGAAGATTCCCTGTTGAGGGAGCACAGAAGAAATGACAGGTGTGAGAGGAGTGAGCCAGCCAGCTTGGAACTGTCCACACAGGTCCAGATCCTGGAAGTGAGGGCTGAGCGGGAGCGAGAGAAGTGGGGAGGGGGGGTGGGGAGATATCAAGGAAGAAGAGAGAAGCTGGAGGTGGCAACTAGTAGTTAAGACTGCGAAGAGGCTGGCAGAGGCTTAGTTGCCATCTGGAGGCCTTGAGGTAGAAGGGAAGGGAACAACCAAAGGAGAGAATGGTACAAGTGTGGGCTCCACAGAGAGGTTAGGAAGTTGAGAAAGTGGGCTGGTGACTTCAAGTTTACTTATAGTGGGTATAGGGCCCAGGTTCTATTCTAATGGGTTGAGTAAACCAAAGGTAAGAAGTTAGGTGTGGAATGTAGTGTGTGCTGAGGGTGAGGGTTGGGAAGGAAGGATGACTTGTGAGAGTTAGAGCAAACACAAGATCACAAGAGACGTTTCACAGGCCTGTCTAAATAAATGTACATGGGAAGCTACTAGTGGAGAGATGGGTGTCCAAGTATCTTAGTCTTTCCTGGTTTTAGCAGAATTGGGGAAACTGGGACAGTGGGAGGGCTGGGCACAATGCTGGAGAAAGTATAGAAGAGGAGGAAATGGTTGACGGGGATCATCCCTGGCCAAGACTGGGTCCAAGAGAAGATGTTTGTAGCTACCTGTGTAAGGGACAGGTCATCAGGTCAGAGGGAGTGCAGTAGGCATGAATAGGAAGTCCATGGCAGAATGGGGATGAGCCATGCAGGGCGCAGCTGTCAGCAGCCCGGGCGATGCTGCAGAGAAGGTGACCTGATAACCTACCACCATGTCTGTCTTTGCAGTCCTCACCCTGTGAAGCCTCTCAGTGCTGCCCCTGTGGAGAACAGCCCTGAGAAGAAACAGCCCCGCTCCAGTCTGAGCACAGCCCTGAGCAGTGGGCTGGAGAAACTCAAAACAGTCACCTCTGGCAGCATTCAGCCTGTGATCCCAGCACCCCAGCCTGGCCAGACTGTGGATACTAAGAGGCTGAAGGTGAGGCCCAGCAGGATGTCAGGGGGCATCTTGACAGAACAGGTGCTGTGGAGAGACCCATAGTGTCAGGGTAGGGTGTTGGAGAGGGTGGAGCAGGAGCAGGTTAGCCCCTTAATTGGAAGCCAGTTATTTAGGCCATCGCCAGCATTGGAGTCAGGCAGTTCCGGAGGCCTGTAATGGGGAAACAGGTGTTGGTGGGGAGGCTGGTGGTAGGCCTGGGGCTGTCCTGCTCACTTTCTTGCTGTCTGACCTCAGGATTCTGCTGTGTTGGACCAGTCAGCCAAGTACTACCACCTGACTCATGATGAGCTCATCGGCTTGCTCCTGCAGCGAGAGCGAGAGCTGAGCCAACGGGATGAACATGTGCAGGAGCTAGAGAGCTACATCGACCGGCTGCTAGTGCGAATCATGGAGACTTCACCCACACTGCTGCAGATTCCTCCTGATGCTCCCAAGTAGTCCCTCTCATCTCTGACACTGGAAGGCTGGCCAGGACCTTCTACCCAGATAGAGCCTATGTGCCCATATGCCTGCCTTTCCTCCCTCCTGCTGAACACAGTTTCGCCTGGGCAGGGTACAGCTTGTCCTCATGGTCACTTCCTGCCACCCTCTCCCTCCTACTTCTGCTGGAGATGCTGGAAGGGGACCCTTTGGATTCCTATTGGAGGCATAATGGTCCATGTAAAGCTTGGTGTCTCTGGGAACCCTGGGTCTTTCCCACTTGCCTATTTTCACTCCCATTAGCTTTGGGGGCTCTAGGGAATGGGGAGAATAAAGTTAGCTTTCTAGATGGCTCAGGGTGATCTGTGGTTGGATGTGGTAATTGGGATGAGACTTGCTGGCAGATTTAATCATCCCTGAGAATAGTCAGTCATTTTCTTCCCACAGCGGATCCATCATCTCTGTATTTACCTTCAGTGTGTGGAGAGTCTTCTAGTATTACAGGGACCAAGCTGCCTGTATGTCTGTTGCAGATGGCCAGGGTATCTATTGTAGCCTCATACCCATCTCAAAAGCAGAGAGCCTATATATTCTCATCAAGTCTCTGTCATGTCCTGAATGTTTCCACCTCAAGCTTTTTGCAGAACAAGTGTAGTATGGACAGAAGTAGTCAAGGTGTGTGGCTTTAGCTGCCTCCTGCCCCTCTTCTGACCTTCCTACTGAGTGTCATGCTGACTGTGTGGAGGTAGTGCTGGGTAGGGGAAAGTTCTTCCTTGTTCTTTGAGTTCTCTCCTACCTGTGTTATGTGGGCCCCTCCAGGTTGAGGCTTTGGCTGCTTATGTTTTGCATTCAAGCCTCCATATCAGTTCTTGCCTGTCCAGATGCCAGAACTCTGCTGTGGTAGAGTTTGAACTTTTGGAAACCAATTAATATGTGCCTTTTGTTGGTGGGGTCAAGAGCCTCTGATGTAGACCTCTCCTGCTGAGCACATGGAATGGCTCTGTTAGGGGCCTGGGAAGGGGGATACTAGCTGGGCTAGTCCTGATATGTGCTCTTTCTTTGAAAATATATCAACAAGGGGTCTGCCAAGATTTTTCTGTTCCCTTAACCTTCCTGCTGCCTTCTCTTCCCTCAAGCCTATTTTGGAGGATCATAGGATAAAAACCTATGGTGGGCAGTGGGCTTAGGTCATTAGGCCTCAGGTCTTATGATGCATCAATAACCTGGTCCGTAGATGGGATGTTATACATCTTAAACACATGTACTTAGGAAAACGCTTTTGTTGCTCTCTCAGCTGTTCACTAAGCTACTGACCCAGACTGTCCTTTCTGCTCCCTTACTTTGCTTGCCCTGGCCACAGTGCACTTTGAACCAAAGTATCCGTTCTTTAGCTCAGGCCTTGGTTTGCTAGTAGAGAAGAGAACATGGCAGGCTTCCCCATGGCAAGGATCTCTTGGTAACTTCATAACTTGAGCACCCTGCATTACAAAAGATACGGGATGAGGTGAGGAGATGCTGAAAGAATAGGTTTTGGTCCAGTGATAAGGCAAGAACCCTCTGGGGCTGCCTCTTCTTCATGACAGGCTGGTAGTTTCACTCAGAATGTCTAAGGAGATATATTGTGATGGTGATGTCTTTTGCCAGCATGGAGGAGCCCCACACACAGGTAGTGGGGTTGGAGATTTGAGGAAGCCTCTGTAGAATTGTCAACTTTAGGATTATCGGAGCTAAGAAGTGTCCACGGGTGCCCAGACCTTCAGTCACATGTTCTGGGGCAGCTGGGGGTTGGAGAGTGAGGGAGTCAACCTACTAAGTGTTCCTCTGGGCTCTAGCCTGGTCCCTGATCTTCCACCTATCCTTAATGATGGACCTCTCACAGGTCCAGGGCAGGGATGTCTTGAGGAGAGGTTTCAAATCAAAGCCCAGGGTTTTTCTTTGATGTTTCTGCTCCTGGCCACAAGTTGGAAGAGAGCTGGGGGGGGGGGGGGGGGTGGCGGTGGGGCAGGGAGCAGGTCCAGTTCTGCTTTGCTGTTTGTCTTCCTAGTTGTAACTTCGGTTTATAAAGAGCTTGTTCTTCATGTTTTGAGCACTTTATGAAGAATAAAAAGTTCACATACTGCAGGTGGTCTGTTGTGATTCTTGTGAAAGAGATTACTGGTGGAAGACATTAGCCTTACAGCAAGGTGATGGGATTATTGGACAACATTGTTCCTATCTTGACTTCATAGGACAGCAACATAGTGTTGCTCTGTGGTCTGGATTTGACTTTTTCCTACTCCTACAGTGTCTGCATTGGGTACCCATAATAGCCATATTTACTGGGTACTATGTGGGGAGGAAGGTACAAGGTTAATCTTGTTCTTAAGTACTTACTGAGTTGAGTAGAGGAAGGTAAGATACAAATCCAAAAATACAAATTATTCTACCTGGCTAGCTAGATTGTGTAGTTTCAGGAAAATTCTGTTTTTCATGGTTCAATCATTGGTGAGCAGATGAAAACTCAAGAATATAGCAGCTCACACAGTGTCCAAAAAGACATGGGTAAGCACAAGCCAGTCCTATGCCTCACCATAAGATTAATGAGTCCCGTATCTTGCCCATGTAATTGTAACTCCTCTGTACAGTATTTTTACACACACACACACAAAGTAATGAGACCCTGGGCTGGGAAGGTGGCTCAGTATAGTGCTTGCCTTGCATGCATGAGGCCCTGCGTTCTATTCCTTAGCACCACATAAGCAGAAAAAGCCAGAAGTGGCGCTGTGGCTCAAGTGGTAGAGTGCTATCCTTGAGCTGAAGAGCTGAGGAAGCACCCAGGCCCAGAGTTCAGGCCCATGATTGACCAAAAAAAAAAAATTAGAGACCCAAAGTGGGATCTTGGTTGAACAGGAAGGTTCCCCTCCTTCCTCTCTGGTTCATCATTCTTCAGGAATGTTCATTATCTGTGCCAGGGCTTGTGTCACAACCTGCAGAGCTCATTTAAAAGTTTTTTTGTGTGTGCTGAGCCTTGAACTCAGGACCTAGGTGCTGTCCCTGAGCCTCTTTTTGTTTTTTGTTGGTTGTGGGGCTTGAATTCTGGGCTTGGGCTCTGTCCCTGTGCTCTTCAGCTCAAGGCCAGAGCTCTACCGTGTGAACCACAGTGTAAGCCACAGTGCCACTTCTGGTTTTCTAGTGGTTTATTGGAGATGAGTCTCATAGCCTTTCCTGCGGGGACTGGCTTTGAACCTTGATCCTCAGATCTCAGCCTCCTGAGTAGCTAGGATTACAGGCGTGAGCCACTGGTGCCCAGCTTCCCTGAGCTTCTTTTGCTCAAGGTTAGTGCTCTACCATTTGAGCCATAGCTCCACTTCTAGTTTTTTCTGAGTAGTTTATTGGAGATCAGTCTCACAGACCTTCCTACCTGGGCTGGCTTCAAACCATGATCTTCAGATCTCAGCCTCCGGAGTAGCTAAGATTACAGGCATGAGCCATCAGTGCCAGGCTAAAGTTCTTATAGCTTGGTACCTGATAGATACTACTGAATCCTAATCCCTGATTACAGACAGCCTTCTTCCACCTAAGCTTTAGGCCTCCTTGGCTGGTGAGAAGAGACTAGGGCTATCAGGACGTTTAACTCCCAACACATTTATTTTAGTTTTGGGTGAGCCCTGCTATGCTGCACTGAAGACAGTAGTGAATTGAAGTCACAGCCTTTTCCTTGTGGAGCTTACAGTAGGAAAGACAAATAAGCACATCCATCAATACTTACAAATCCAATGGCTGTGAAAAATAAATGGCTATATTTGTGTGTGTGTGTGTGTGTGTGTGTGTGTGTGTGAGAGAGAGAGAGAGAGAGAGAGAGAGAATGTTCAAGTGTCATGGCAGCCCAAGCCCAGCTTGTTCCAGGAAGTGAGTAGTAGCAGGAGGGAGGGTGGCAACAGGAGAAATGGCAGGAAAATCCCGCAATATACAGTTTGCGGAAAGCCTTCCAAATTAATCCCGCTTCGCCTAGAGTTCTGGCCCATTGGGTTCCAGGTCGGCCCGCTTGTGTAGGGCCCTTGTCCTGGGCTGCTGCTCCAAGGCCTAACGCTTATGGCCGCGGTCCAAAGTTCTCAGGGTAGGCAAGACACGAGCGGCCGCCCCGTGCCCCATTTTTGGGACCAGGGCTGCACGAACACTTCCCCGACAGCCACCCCTGCCTTGCAGTCCTGGCGGGCGGTGGGAACCGAGAGGTGGTCTGCGTGGGTGCAACTCTCCGCAGTCTAGGGTTGTCAAGCACTGAGACGGAGGAAAAAAACCACATTCCCCACAAACCCTTGCGTGCCTGGCTTGCTGCGGTTGCTCGTAGCCAATCCGGAGAGGCAGCTGTGGCGGGGGCCGAGGAGGGACATTTTAAAAGGGCCGGGGATTGCGGGCGTCAGTGGCCATGGCGGATACAGCGACTACAACACCGGCGGCGGCGGCCAGTGCCGCTAACGCCTCGACAGATGCACCGCCTTTCCAGTTGGGCAAGCCCCGCTTCCAGCAGGTGAGGACGGGGCTGAGGTCTGAGGGTCTGTGAGTGGCTTAGGGAGGGCGAGCAAACTCCCCTCCCAAATCCCCTTCAATCCTAGGGTCTGCGACCCGCGGCCACCGGAGCTTGCAGCTGGTGCCTCGGGGACCTTGGCCACAGCCACTTTCTTCCCATTGGTCAGTAGGGCGAGCAAGGACTCCCACCTCGGCTTCCTATTGGCAGTTAGCACTGTCGCTTTCCGACTGCCCGCGCCCTCCAGCTATTCCCGCCTGAGGCGCTCTGTGATTGGCCACCGTGGGCCGCGGTCAGCTCTCCCTGGCACTAGGGTCCGAGAGGCTCTTGGCAGGGTCGCTCCAGTTTGTGCAAGAGGTTCGCCCCGGCGCAAAGTTCGAGTCTGACCCTGGAAGAGAAGTTGGAGTGTCAGGGTTGCCTTCTAACTTTTCCCCCTGAGTAGGACTGAGATTCTTTCCAAGATGTTGGCTAAGTAGCATCTCTACTCCGCAGTCACATCGCATTCCCTCACCCGGAGAGGGGTCCACCATGCTCAGTGGGGTGGGCGCAGATACGGCGTGGGGGGTGGGGAGGGAGGGGTGCAGTGTTCCGACGACCTCCATCCGAGGCTGGGAATTCGCTGACGCAGCCAATCGGCTGGCAGGTGCCCTGCAGGGAAGAGGTTAGAATGTGCCGAAGTGGGGGTGAGGGGGAAACGCTGTGTCATCCCCTGGGGCCGCTGCCCTCAGTGAGTCCATCGCCCCTGGAGCTCTCCCCTGCACTTCCCTTGTTGCGTCTTCCGTACCCGGGCCCTGGTGCAATGGAGCGCTTGCCTCTGTCCAGACCTATTTGGGCTCTCTGGGGCTTGGTGACTGTGGTCCTTTCCTCCCGGGCCCCTGCCAGGGCATCGCTAACTCGGCCCCAGCCATGGAGCCTGAGATCAAGCCTGCACCCAGGACATACTGACGAGGCCTTGGAACCACCAGCCTGTGAGAGGCAGTTCCCACGCCGCAGACCCTGGGGTCCCTGCTGCCTCCAGAGAGGAGAAAACACACTTTATTAGGAAAAGGGCAAAGCGACTTGGCTGAAATGAAATGAGGGCTTGCTAGAGCGGTGGGTGTCAGCCGAGGTACCAAAAAGAACTTTGAAGGAAGAAAGGAAATGATAAGAAGGTCAGATCGGTTTGGTGGTCTTTTTCTTTTTCTTTTTTTTGGTGGGGGTGGGCGGGAAGGTTGTTGAGATAGGATCAGGACTTAATCTAGTCCTGAGTTTCACTGATAATTAAAGAGCTGAATTCCTAAGTCCTGGGAGAAAATATCCCCAGGGACTTTAAATGAGACCTGATTCCTTTTTAAAATAGGCAGCATGTAGGTTCTGAGAAAAGACTGGCACCTTCCTGCTAGTGTTAAGATGACATCTATGTCCAGGCTGTTAGGGCTGCTCTTGCCTGGCTTTGGGTGATCCTTCCTCCTGCACCCTTCCACCCCCATTCTGCACATACTCTGCCAGGCTCAGATAGGCCCCTTTCATCAGGGAAACCCTTGTCTCCTTCTCTGGCACCATTATTCACTGGTCTTACCAAGATACTGACTCCTGCAGCCTCTTTGCCCATCCCCAGTGGATCCTTTCAGCTCAGCCTTTCCTTACAGTCTTTCCTGTGTTTCTCTAATCCTATGGCCACTTGTTCTTCTCAAACCCATGTAGAGTCTTGGAGAGAAGGGGCTGATCTTGCTCATCTCTGTCTCTTATTCACCCAGAATCAGGACTAAGGTTTTATATCATGTTGGGTAAAAACGTAGGGGTTGCTCTTTCCTCTGGTTCCTGTTATCTGGGTAGGGGTACTCAGGACATCCGGTTACCCAGCAGACTTTTATTCAGTAACTATTAGTGGATTTAGCACTGGGCCATTAGCTGTAATCATTGCTGAAGCTATGAATTAATATTTGAGGTGATTGGGTCCTCTTTTGGTACCTCTTTTGGCAGTGAATGTTTTCAGTAATGCTATTGATTCCCTCCAACAGCATAGTAGTCTGCATAAAGCATAGTGCATGGGCACATGTGATTCATCCATGTTAAGAACTTTTCTTTCTGCCACACCTGCTCCTCCTACACGGCTCCCTGGCTTGGCAAGCAGCTCAGCAAGCAGCTCAGCTTACCACCAAATGCTAGTCATAAACCTGGAGTTTGTCTGTGTATTTCCTTTTCCTCACCTTCTAAATTCAAGCAGAGACCATGATCTCAGCTCTCATCTGCTATCTCCACTGTCCATCTGTACAACTAGATTCCTAAACTAGCCTTGCTCATCCATTTGTTGGGCCATTGTGGAAGCTTCTAAATAGGTCTCCTTGCGTCCATTCTGGCCTTGTTCCAATCCTTCCCTCTTCTTTATGGCCAAGTCCCAACAATACAGGTCTGATCAAGTGACTCCTAAACACACACTTACCAACACCACTCTGTGATGACTTTGCTTGCTTCTAATGGAAAGCCCTCACCTCTGAAGAGGTTCAAAGTTTTGAACGGCCCACCCCTGCTAATTTCTACTTGAATCATACTACCTACTCACCCCTTATACCTCCTTCCCACCATTCTTGCTGATTTTCAACTTTGTACCTACCCTGTTTCCTTCCACCCAGGGCCATCTACAGGAATATCACCTTTCCCTTGTCTTAACCTCTTGTCCCTATCTCCTCCTCTATAATGTGTCCACTCCATCCCCAAGTGTGTTGTTGTAGTATTCTTGAGATGCTGGGGATTAGACCTAGATCCTTGTACATGCTGGAAAAGCTTTTTTTTTGGGGGGGGGTGCCCAGTCGTGGGGCTTGAACTCTGGATCTGGGCGCTGTCCCTGAACTCATCAGCTCAAGGCAAGCGCTCTACCGCTTGAACCACATCGCCACTTTCTGGAAAAGCTTTTTACCATTGAGTTTACATCCTAATACTTGGTTTTTAGAGACAGAGTCTTGCTATGTAACTCAGGCTGGCCTTGAATTCACTATGCAGACCAGACTGACTTTGGACTCAAGAAACTTCAGCCTCAACTTCCCAAGTGCTAGAGTGCAGGTATGCACCTCATGCCCAGCACAAATTTGAGTTTTTGACTATGTCCTTCCATACTGCAAAGTACCTGCATCATTGTTTAGGGGTAATTATTTTATTAGCATCAGTGTCTCCCTCTTCCAAAAGTAGGCTTCATGGATCAAGGATTGTGGAAACCTTGATTCTTTGTTGACTCAGCAGTGTCTTGATTTTAGGGGTGCTTTGTAAAGATTTGTGAATAAATGAACATGCTGAAGATACCACAGTGGTTTTTGTGGTCTTGAATTAAATTGCCATCAGACTGTAGGCTAGTGGCTTATACCTATAATCCTAGCTACTTAAGAGGCAGAGACCTGAGGGCTGAGGTTCAAAGTCAGCCCAGGCAGACAAATCCATGAAGTTCTTATCTTCAGTAACTAACAAAAAGCTGAAAGTAGAGGTATGGCTCAAGTCGTAGAGCACTAGATTTGAACAAAAAAGCCTAGGGAGGGCTGGGAATGTGCCTTAATGGTAAAATGCTTGCCTAGCATGCATGAAGCCCTGGGTTCAATTCCTTAGCACCACATAAACAGAAAAAGCCAGAAGTGGTGCTGTGGCTCAAGTGGTAGGGTGCTAGTCTTGAGCAAAAAGAAGCTCAAAGACAATGCCCAGGCCCTGAGTTCAAGCCCCAGGACTGGCAAAAAAAAAAAAAAAAAAAAGACAAGCAAGAGCTCTTGGTTCTGAGCAAGTATAGACTGTGATTGGGAGGAAGGGTCAACTTTTATCCACATTTTCCTTTAGGAATCCTGTAAGATTACAATGAAGTGGGGGACATATTTAATGATGTAAGAATCTGAAGCCCTGAGGAGGTGAGTCTAAAGATGCAGTGGTCTGCGTTGGATATCTTGAGCTGACAGGTTTCTTCAGGGCTCAACCATCTTTGTCTGAGTCCTGCCTGCATATTGGCATGTAGTAGGGGTCCAGTGAATGCGCATAGTACCCTGAGCTGAGACACCATTCTTATTCTCCAACTCGTCTTCTACTTTCTGTGGGGTTTGGAACAAGGGACTCCTTGTTCACAGGAGTCCCTTTAGAACTGCTGTTCCTTTCCTCCACCCAAAGGAGGTGAGTCTGTGGGGGTGGGGGAAGAATGAGTGCTGAGCAGTTTCAGGCAGTGGAGCAAGGGTGGGGTATGGGCTGTGGTCTGTGGCGATCTTTCCATAAAATGATGATGATGAATTGAGCATTGTTTCAATCCTTTCTTCATATTGACTTAAAAAAATGTTCACAACCTGATGGGACAAATACAGTGACCTCCATTTACAGGCGAGAAAATTGCAGTACACAAATTTTGAAATTGACTAAATAATTTCCTAGGGAGTTCTGGCTCCAGAGTCTATGTTTGTTTGTTTATTGTCTTTGTTGTTGTTGTTGTTGTTCTGGAGATTTTCAAACATACAAAAGTGGAAATAGTCATCATCAGACCATTGTGTACCCATCAGTCAGCTTCAATAACAAGTTAAGATCAGCCTTGTTTCAACCAGTGAATTGTTTTTGAAGCAAAACCCAAACACACTGTCTTTTCACTGACCTAATAGTAGGTTTGTCTAAAAATAAAGACTCTTTTGGATTTAAAAAAAAACTAAGTTGGAATACTTTTAGATTTACAGAAATTGAAAACAAAACAAGCCAAATGCCAGTGGCTCATGTCTATAATCCTAGCCACTCAGGAAGTTGAGATCTGAGGATCATGGTTGGAAGGCAGCTGGGGCAGGAAAGTCTGTAAAATTCTTATCTCCAATTAACTACCAAAAAGCTGAAAGTGCAGTGCAGCAGTGGCTCAAGTGGTAGAGCGCTAATCTTGAGCAAAAAACTCCCAGATACTATCCAGGCCCTGAGTTCAAGCTCCAGGACTGGCACAAAAACAAAACAAAATAATTCCTTCTTAGCCCTTACTTAGGATCTCTGCTGTCATCTTGTAGTATCATGGGTCATTTGTCAAGACTAAG